AAGGTAACAACATCCAGAATTTCTCCACAATTTTCACTCACAATGTGTAGTGTTCAATAAAAACAAAACAAAACAAAACAAAACAAAACAAAACAAACAAAATAAATAAAACAAAAACCAGACATGCAAAAAAAGCAAGAATTTTTAAGAAATCGAAGGAGAAAGAAAACAACAACCAAAACCCCAGACACTGGTTACGGGCTCATATGAGATCCAAATATTGGAGTTTTAAGACATGCCATGTACTTTAAACTGTGATTAGTATGTTTGATAAATCAAAGGACAAGATCAGAGGAAAATTTCAACAGGGAATTATAAAAGACTAATATAAATTCCAGGCCTGAAGGATTCAATAGCAAAACATCAAATATTGATAGATGTGTTTAATAGCAGATTGTATGGAGCTGAAGAAAATAGGTCTGAAAAAACTATCCAGATTGAATCTCAGAAAGAGAAAATAAAAAATGAAAAATGCAGAAAATAATGCAAGAGACATGTGTATGGTAAAAAGAGATAACATGTAATTGAAGAGTCAAGAGGAAAGAAGGGTGTAGAGTAGAAAAATTTTAAAAAACATAATGGCTAAGAATTTCACAGACTTGATGAAATACTAAAGAAACTCAAAGAAGATTAAAAAAAAAAAAAAAGGAAAACTATAGGAAGAGAACTATAGTTATATTCCCCAAAACTGAAGACAATGAGGAAATCTTAAAAGTACCAGGGGAAAATGATATTTACCTCCTAAGAGCAAATATAAGACTTATGTAACACTTCTCAACAAAAATAACAAAAGGCAGAGGCCATGGAAGTTTATCTTTGAAATTCTAAAAGAAAACAACTATCAAGCTAGAATTCTCTGCTTTGTCAAAATATGTTTCAAGTATAAGCTGAAAAAGGAAATTTTAGAAAAACAAAACTTTGGAAGATGAAATTTTAAAAACCTAACAGAATTTGCAATAACTTCAAAAAATATTAAAACTTGAGGATATCTTAGAGATTTTGTGGGTTCGATTCTAGACCACTGCAATAAATCAAAGATTGCAATAAAACAATGTAAAAACATAAATAAAGCAATTCAAATGGATTTTTTGGTTTCCCAGTACATATAACATTTATGTTTGTACTATACTGTAGTCTATTAAGTGTTAATAGCATTATGTCCAAAAAAAAATGTATAAGCCTTAATTAAACATACTTCATTGCTAAAAGATGCTAATCAAATCCGAGCTTTTAGCAGGTCATAATCACTGATCACAGATCATGACAAATATAGTGTTAAAGAAGAAGTTTGAAATATTGAGAGAATTAACCAAAACTTGATCCAGAGACATGAAGCAAGCAAATGTTGTTGGAAATATGGCGTCATTCGTCTTGCTCTATGCAGGGTTGCTACAACCTTCAATTTGTAAAAAATGTGGTATCCATGAAACTCAATAAAGAGAAACACAATAAAATAAGGTATTCCTGTACCTAGTAATAAAGCTAACAAGATGTATATAAGGGCTCTACCCAGAAATAAAAATAAGACAAAAAACTTGTAAGAGTAAAGAAGACGTAAATAAAAGGAAAGTTAAGCCATGTTTAAGGACTAGAAGACTCAACATAATAAAGATGCCATTTCTCTCCAAAAGGGTTTGTTGTTTCTAAGTAATCCAAAAAAATTCCAGCAAGTATCTTTGTGGATATTATCTGATTGTATAGAAATCAAGGACCACAAGAGCTAACACAATCTTAAAAAGAACAAAGTTGGAAGACATAGACTATTGATATTAAGGTTATTATAAAACTATGGTGATTAGGGGACACCTGGGTGGCTCAGTTGGTTAAGCCGCTGCCTTCGGCTCAGGTCATGATCCTGGGGTCCTGGAATCGAGTCCCGCATCAGGCTCCTTGCTCGGCAGGGAGCCTGCTTCTCTCTCTGCCTCTGCCTGCCTCTCTGCCTGCTTGTGTGTACTCTCTCTCTCTGGCAAATAACTAAAATCTTAAAAAAAAAAACCAAAACCTGTGGTGATTAGGACAATGATTACTACAAGGATAGGAAAAAAATTCAATGGACAGAATAGAGATTCATAAACATAAAGATTCACTGAGATGTTTGATTAATGACAAATATGAGTGATCTTTCAATAAAGGTGCCATGCTGACTGGATATCTGTTTGGGAAAAATGAATTTTGACCCTTAACTCATACCTTATGCTATAAATCAGCAAAACTTTTAGAAAATAAAATACGAGACTATATTAACTGGAGTGAGACTTCTTGTAGAAGTTGAAAAGGCTAATCCGAACACAAGCCTGAAGAAAATGTTGGCTTATTTCAAAATTTGACCTAGAGGTGATCAAGGCCTATGTTACGGCTTCATATTTATTCCCCCAAATTCTTATGTTGAAGTCTGAACTCCCACTATCTCAGAATTCAACTGTATTTGGGGATGAGGCCTTTAAAAATGTGATTAAATTAAAATGAGTCCATTAGGATGGCCCCAATCCAATCTGACTGGTGTATTTGTAAGAAGAAATTTGGACACATGAGAGAGATACCAGGGATGCCTGCACACAGAGGAAAGCCCTTATGAGGACAGAAAGAGGGCAGTCATCTGAAAGCAAAGGAGAGTGATCTCAAAAGAAGCCAAATCCTTCAACTACTTAATGTTGGACTTCTAGTCTCCAAAACTATGAGAAAATAGAATTTTATTGTTTAAGCCATCAAGTCTGTGTATTTTTGTCATGCAGCCCAAGAAGACTAATATAGCCCCAAGGTTCTATGTGACAGAGAATGCTTGCAATAATTTCAGCCTGAAAAAAATTTAATTAGTGTGACCTAAGGGTCATCTCACCACAAAAATTATTATCACATGCCCATAGAAGGTATAGCTCTAATTCTCTCATGATCATTCCAAGATAAAACGGTTAAAATGTATTTCTCAATAACTAAAGCAACTGGCTGTACTAGGCTGTTATGTACAAGCCAGTGAAATGCAATTTAGATCACACAACCATTGGGACCTGCTTCATTCAGCTACCAATCTCCAAGTTCTGGGGTGAAGGTTGGTCACTGGATTCAGAGCTTGGTCACCTAAGAGATAGAATGCCTTAAAGCAGAGACAAGAAAGGATGATAGAATCCCTGGAAACCTCAAGTCACACCATTTGAAGGTGGTATGGCATGGTGGTTAAGAGCAGGAATGTTGAAGTCAGCTAGACTGGGTTCAAATCCTGGTTCTGCCACTAACTCTCTGACCATGGACAAGTTATTTAAACTCTCTGCACTTTAGTTGGTGTATTTATAAAGCAAGGATGATAGTAACTGTGACAATTTCAGAGAGTTGGTGGATCACTAGGATGGATATTAGGCGGCACTTGCAACAGTAGAGGGCATACACAGTGGGTGCTCTTATCATTGGAGATCTGGGGTCAGCCCTCATCAGGGAGCAGGACTGGAGGGAGCCCCCATTGAGGCTACATACCTATGATTTGAACAACTTAAATCGCCTGCTGTTGGTTACTTTTCCTGCTTGCTCTGTGGACCACACACAAGTGGTTCGCACAGCAAAAACCAGGAGGAGACCACCTCTGAAATGAAGCGAGGTGAAGGGGATCAACAAGGAACCAGTGACCACAGCTGAGTCCTGGGTTTATGTCTCTGTGCCTAATCCTGCTGCACAGGTTCTGAGCCGGGGGTGGGTGTGAGAGAACTGGGTGTGGCTGCTGCCACCTTTAAGAGCTTGCTGCAGCATCAGAACCTCTCCTGCTGTCTCAGTGCAAGGTTCTGGCTCCTCCGTTAGTCGAGTCATCTGGGGCAAGTTGCTGGACATCTCTGAGCTTGTTTCCTCACATTCACTCATTTGCTTGTTGAAGTCAAGGCACAAACTCATTTTACCTATGCACACACACTATGCCTGTGCTGTGGGAGTCATGGGGTCACCCATTCTCTCACATACTGCAGCTTTCATAAAACAATTAAATCTGGTGGCAGTGAGGTTTTCTGAAACCTTACACTCTTCATCCTCAAAACTTCAGAGGACAGGAGAAATGGTGTATTTGGAGGCCATATCTGGAGACAAGGGTGATTAACCAGTTTTCAGGGGAGAGCATAAATGGAGACTCACCTGGTGGAGAGAAAGCAGAGCTCCCGCAGGGGAGGCAGCCAGCCTGGCCAGGCTGGGCACTGAAGGTGCCTGCAGGGCATGGCAGGCACTCTCCAGCTGCCCCTGCCTGGCTGCTGTTTCTAAACGTTCCCACTGGGCAGGGCCTGGGGCTATGAGTCCTGGCAGGACAGTAGTGCCCCACTGGGCAGGGGTGGCTGTGGTAACTCTCTGTTCCTGGAGGGATATAGAGGGGGAAATTCTGAGCCATGGACTCTAGCTGAGGTGCAGACTGGGAAATGGCAGAGTCTGAGGTAAGAATGAGCTTGCCGGTAGGATTCAAGTGGGGAAGGGAGTGGGAGGGGAGATAGCAAAGCAAATACTGATCAGGGAAGAATCTAGATTGTGAGATAGTAGAGTCTCTGTGCTTTCTTGTATTTACCCTCCCACCCCCCAAGCAACAATACCCTTGGCCTTTTGGGCACTACACAACACACTTCCATCTTTCTCAGTAGACACAGAGCTGCATATCCAGCATTGCTTATATACCAGGCTGTAGTTTGTCCTGTTTCCCAGGACAGGCTCCAACATGCTCATTGTATGATATGATGCACAGTCAATAATTTTTAGGTCTTTTAAACATAACATCAAGACAGGTGTGGCACCTAATTTCTCTGACTCTCCTTTCACCTGTGTTTCCTCCCTCCCCACCCCCCCACCCCCGCCATAGAGTTGGGCTTTTCTCAATCAGGTGGCTGGCCTAGCTGAGAAAAACTATAGGCCTGTTCCCCTGCATGCTCCTAGCGGCTCTGTGGGTCCTCCCTACTTTCCACCTCTATCCTCCTCACTGGGCTCTGTCCAATTCCAAGGCCCCAGCCCCCCTCTCCTGCTCACACCCAGGCTTCCCAAACTCACCCTGGTAGCAGGTGAATCCAGGCGGACAGGGCTGACAGGTCTGGGAATCCAGGGCCTGGCTGCGGTAGGTGCCTGCTTCACAGAGGCGGCAGCAAGTCTCCTTGGAGACCCTAAGGCCAGTTCCATTCAGGGCCTCAGAGGCCCCAGGGCACGCACGTGGATGGGCACTGCCCACGGGGCAGTAAAAGGGAAACACGCAGCTGCACAGAGACACAGACCCCCCAGACTCTAGTTTCATGTTGAGAGGATCTGTGTGTGCTATTGATCTCAGCACACTAGCTGGGTCCCCCACCCCTCTCCACATTCTCCACACTTGGGCCTTAAGCTGGCTGGGGGAGGGGTGGCCCTGAATTTGTCCCAGATAAGGGGCTCTGAGGTGGTCTACTGTCTGATGAGGCCTAAGTAGGTCAAGGTGTCTTCCTGGAGGAGGCTGAGCCTCGTCTAAGTGGCCAGGCCACTGGACAGTGTCCAAGCCTGTGTTCCCTACCCACCTCACCCTGGGCAACAGAATATGTGGACCACATCTGATCATCTCCGGGTTGGGGGACACAGTTGGGAGTGCTGGGAATGTCGGTTCTGGACACAGGATTGAGGTTGCCAGGTGAAATACACTGCATCCAGTCATATTTGAATTTCAGATAAACGATGAGCAATTAACAATGAATAAACAATAAGTACTACTGCATATTGCATAGGCCGTACTTACACTAAAAAATTATTTATTGTTTACCCGAAATTCATATTTAACTGGGTTTTCTTTCTTCCTTCCTTCCTTCCTTTCTTTTTTTTATTAATTGGGTTTTCTTGTATTTTTATTTGCTAAATCTGGCCACCCCACAGGGAATGACCTTGGAAACTAAGAAGGGCATCTCAGTGGGATTTGTTTCCTCACCCATCCTTCCCAGGGACAGAGGAAGGACTGGGGCACCAGAACACCCTAGCTGGGAAGCCCAAGCAATGTGCTACACAGTACTTGCCTCTGGGCTCTGCTATTTTGGTCTGCATCCTTTGGGACTCAGGGGGTTGACTCCTCTCTGGAGAGCCCAGAGGCTGAGACACAGGGGGAGCCCCAGATACACAGATAGGGGAGGTACTCACAGCTGCCCTGGGCCAGTGTAGGTGGAAGAGCCAGCAGGGCAGGCATAGCCCCCAGGGCAAAGTGGGGGGACCCCTGTCTGGGGCCCGCAGTAGGAGCCAGCCCTGCATGTGACCTCAGCCACAGAACCTGAAAGAAACAGAACGGACCAAGGCACCTGGGTCTTAGGGGGACTCAAGGTGGTACAGATCCAACCAAGACTGAGTGGGCCCTGGGGGACTGGGTATATGGCTTGCTAGGGCAAGCAAGTGGCCATACCATGCCTGCATGATGTGCCCTGTGCTGGTGAGACCTGCCTGAGCACCTGGCTTAAGCCTCAGGGGTGCGGGCACAGAGTTAGGGGCATGGGCTGGGAAGGGACAGATAGGCAAGGCAGTCTCACCTTCAGGGCACTCAGCTCCAGCTCTGCAGGGGATCACAAACACATTTGCATGATCTTGAAGCTCAGCCTGGGGGCAGTAGTGGCCAGGGAGACAGAGCTCACAGTCTTCTTGGGATGATGCCCCTGGCTTTGTTCGAAAGGTGCCAGGTGGACAGAGAAAGGCACCTTGATCACCTGGACACCAGTAGCCTGGAGGACATGGGTGGCTTTTGAAGGAAGAGAGACCTGGAGGCAAAAACATCAGGCATGGCCATGTGACCTCTGAAAACCTCTTACTCTCCTCCATAGAGGCTCTCAGCATCCAGCTTAGGATCAAACTCTCACCTGGGGACAGGCAGTGGTACCCGGGAGGGCAAGGGAGGCACTCTGCCAGACTCTGGCCTCCTTCTGCAGCCAGATAGGTGTGTTCAGGGCAGGGCTGGGGGGTTCCTGGACTGGTCTTATTCCCTCCAGGGCAGTAGTGGCCAGCAGGGCAGGGGTGAGTGGTCGGGTCTCCTGGAGAGCAAAGGTTGTCTCACTTTCCATCCTCTCTTCCTGCCCAGAGGGCCTCCCTCGGCCCTTCTTGGGTCCAGTATCCTCCTGGCTACAGTGCAGTTAACTTACCGGCTTTGCACCAGCGCCCAGCAGGGCAAGGCCCACACTCATCTTGCTGCTTGGCTCCAGGGGCAGCCGCCACAGTATGAGGTGGGCATAAGGTGGGTTCTCCACTGCCCTCTGGGCAGTAAAAGCCTGAAGCATAAGGGGTCACACTGGGTCTTGTGGAAGGTAGGTAGACTGCTCGCTGTGGCAGAGCAGGAACAGCATGAATCCAGGGGTGGCACGGGGGTTCTGTTGGCCCAGGAGTTGATTGGTCTGGATGCCAGTCCTGGCTTCACTTGCTTTTATGTTTGTAAAATTAGTAACCTTCTGAATTGCTCTAGGTGTCTATTCATATCGCATATGTTTGATGTATGTAATTACATACACATGCACATGCAGATACATGTTAGTTGCACAACACTGGGGCTCAACTATTTTTGATGATTTCTTTAAGGAAGTTCTATGACCAACATGGGGATCAAACCTTCTAATGAAATTCAGAAGGTTACTGATTTGACAAGAGTCACGGGTTCTACTGAGCCAGTCAGGTGTGGGAGTCAGCTATTTTCAGGGTCTGTTTTTGACCCAAACAAGAAATCCTTTGCCCTGGTGGGTGCTGTGGTAGCAGCCAAGCAGCCTTGCTCTCTGCCTCTTTCACACTCTAAGGGCAAGAAACAGGGGTCATTACCTGGTGGGCACTGCTTGGCGCACAGTTGTCCCTGGGGGCACGAGGGCTGAGACTCCCTGGGACCTTGTGTCATCAGTTCGGAGGTCCCAGCAGGACAGAAATAACCAGCAGGGCATTTCCCCCACACCTGTCCACCTCTAACAGCACAGAGAGGGGAGAAGGGTGAGATCAGGGTGCAGGGACTGATCTGAGCCCAGTGCCTCAGCACCAGAGGGGATCCAGGCCCTTGTTTCAGATAGTTTTATTGTGACCCACAGTGTGAAATGCTTTTGACCTCTCTCCCAGGAGAACACATGGATCTATCCATGTATAGAATAGAAACAAGACCCAGCAATAAAACGGGGCATGAGGCTCAGACCCAGGGGTGCTGGGCCCAGTACAGCAATAGGAGCTCCACCCTTGCTCATCCTTCCGGAAAAGACAGATTCCTGGATGTCTACTCCACTGACTGCGGAGCTCAGCGGATAAAGGGCAGGACTCAGGACTGCCAGTAGCAGGACGAGCCTCTCCTGGAGGAACTTGGTTAGTCTACCCACTCTCTGCATTACCCCCGGGCTTGCCGGCGGCCTGCCAGGTTCCTGGGCCTGGGCTCTCTAGAAGACTAGTCTGGCCACTAGTCTTATCTCCCACTCTGTAGCAGAAAGCAGGCTAGACCTCAGGAAGAACTTCCTGAGTACAGGGAGACAATCCTCCAGAAAGAGCATCTGAGGAAGCCTCCACGATCACCTTTTAAGTAGAAAATCATCTGCTTTGAAGCAAGTTTGCCTCTGCATGAAGTAGAGCAACTCTTCTTTTGAGGATCCCTCTTCCCAGTCCCAGGAAATTGGAGGTACGTGTTTTCAGCAAATGTTGGGAGCTTTCTCTGGACCAGAGACCCACGATATGCTTTCTTTTTGTCTGGTTACTCTGGGGGAGTTGGGCCGAGGGCTAATTTGAGGGCTGGGCTTGTCCCAAAGGTCTTATGGGAGCCTGGGGAACCCCTATCCCATGCAGCCCTAGAGCCTGTGAGTCTCTGAATCCCAAGCACAGTGTTCTTCCAGTGGCTTCTACTGCTACAGTGAGAATGTCCCCATTGTATAAATACGTGTCTTCACCATACCAAGTAGGTGTAGGACATTTCAGGTAGAATTTGGCTGTCCTGAGCCCTGCTCTCTGATTATTTTGTTTATAGGTAACATTCATAGTCCTTCTAGCTCCAATAATTACAAAAACTATTCACATTGTAGAAGATTCAGAAGAGGAGATAGAAGGAAGGATTGTTCCTCTTTTTCCCCGGGTGTATGTGCAGAACTCTGGTATTAACTGGAGGCACAAAGAATTTTGCCTCTAAGGAACTTTCCCATGTTTTTAGGCAGGGACTAAGCCGAGCTGTTTTTATTTTATATTGACCCTTCCTCAGTTTGAATGTATTTATTATTATTTTAAAAAAAAAGTCCTGGGCCTGCGCCCATTGTCCTATCTCTCTTCACCTAATTGTCAGGTTTCCTTCCCTGTTCAGGTCTGTGTGGCCAGGTAGGGCTGCCATCCTATAGTGGGCCCTGGCCCCCTCGCTCCTTAGCTGCCCCACTAATGGGGGGAGGCGAGCTCAGGGCAGTCCCAGGGCCTGTTGGGCCTCTTTGTCTGGAGGGCATTCTTCGATGTCAGTGTGGGACTCTGGGCTATTACTGACCTGCAGTAGCTACCAGGGTGACAGACGGAGCAGTCACCCTCTTCCCGGAGGCCTGACGCATCTTGGGGTGTGAAGGTCCCTGGAGGACATGGAGGAGGGGAGCACGTTCCTGGAGAGGGGGGTTAGGCAGTGAAGATGGGCAGCTAAGGGCTCAGGTCACATTGATCCCTGTGGACCCACCTGCTCCATGCCTGGATCAATTAGTGACCAGGCCCCCCACCCATCAGCCTCTTGCTGCCCCCGTGGTGCTGAGCTTTTCCTTCCTGCTTTCTCAGAGCTTTTGAAGAGCTGAAATGGCCATGACTTTAGTCTCTCTCCCTAGGATTATTGTCCCCTTACAGAAGGGTAACTCCCTAGGGAAGGATTTCCAGGTAGCAGTGAAGCTATTTAGGGGCGAGGGGCTTTAATCTAGCCAAAAGTTTCAGTGGGCTGCCTTCTTGGCACCAGACACTGGGTTCTCTGGGACTGACTGGAACCAGTCCATCCATACTAAGCACATCTCTCTTGGGAACTGCCTTCTCCCAGCCAATCCTTCCACAGTGCCCTGTTGCCCGGCCTGGCTGGGTGGGATGTGCCTGTGTGGTTCCCCCCTCTCCAACATAGGTTGCCCCACAGCCCCCTTGCATCGGTGGCCCTTGTCTTGGGGGCCTTCCTCTGGCTTTGCTGACCTCAACATTTTCTTGTGGCCTGTGCTGTGGTGCCAGGGGCACCCCAGTATACACATCTGCAATGAGAAATAAGAGAAGTCCCCCAACAGGGAAAAAAGTTAAAGGGAGCAGCTGCATCTGCTGAAAAAAAATTTCTGACCAGGAGGGGGAGTAAGAAACTGAAAGGTGTGACTTTAGTTAGCGGGGGTTAAAGTAAGAATCAGCAACTTCAGCAAGAGTGGGTTGAGGGTCTGGGTGGTGGGGACAGGAAGGCAGAACAGTGCTTCCCCAGAGACCAGCTGTCCTCTGTGTGTGTGTGTGTGTGTGTGTGTGTGTGTGTGTGTGTGTGTGACTAATACAATGAGTAGTCATGGGGACAACAGGCCAAGTTCTTTGGACTTGAAATGTAAATATTCTGGGGTAAGAGGTCACTCATTTTAAAGTGGCATTTCACACCTTAGTCACAGGGAAAACAAATGTATGCATTACATGTGAATCAAACACTTGCAAAGTATAAGTAGTTACAACTCCTAAAATTGGCAGGAAGATTTGCCTAAATTGATGTAAGACGTGGAAGAGACTGTGAACTTTTGTGGATACCTATTTGTTTGCCAGGCTGCCTGGGGACAGCATAGATATGTGTGTATGCATGTGTGTGTGCCTATATACACTGTGTGTGCACACGTGTGAGTTTGTGTGTGCACTGTGAGTATATTTGTGCATATATGTATGTGTTCTGTGAGGGTGTGTGTATGGTATGAGGGTGGGCTCATGCACAGTGTGTTCAGGATGACTGGACTCAGACTTGAGGAGAGCACACTTGTGATCACTGGGGCACCATCTTCTGAACTTTGGGTTCCACTTCCAGTGGCCCAACACCACCGAGGAGCTGTTCTCTATGTGTTGTTCAGGAAACTGCTTCCAGATGGTTGACCCAGACCAGCACAGGTGATGACATCTGTTTGCCATCATCCTGGTCCAGGCGCTCACCCTGGACCCCCAGGCTGAGTGTAAGGAAGGGACAGGACATTGTGCATGGGTGAGTCAACAGCTGAAGAAAAGAAAGGGAACAGAGTCGGTGGGATGGGCTTGGGGCAAAGATGAGGGGAGGATGAAATCTATGCAGATGGTCTTCACCATTGGCATTCCTAGTGCGAATACAGTGCCTGGCATTGTATCCTTAGGCTCTCCATGGAGTTTAAATGAGGAAAGAAAGAAAGAAAGAAAGAAAGAAGCAAGGAAGATAGGTGAAGATGTTGGGGAGAAAGATGAGGGCCTGGGATGCATGGAGACTTGAGAGCTTACCGGTTGGGCAGTAGGCATGTGCTGGGCAAAGCCTGGGCATTCTGGTGCCGGGATGAGGACAGTGAAAGCCAGGTGGACACGAGAGGCAGGTGTCTGAGCCTAGGGAGGGCTGGTACTCCCCTTGGTGGCATGGGGCAGGCCAAGCAGACCCTGGTTGGCAGAAGTGACCCTGGGCATTGGACACAAAGTGGTCCCTCTGAGAGCCAGGCTGGGTATGGTTGTGTGCTCAGGAATGTCAGTGCATTGTCCTTCCTTCCAGCTGGTTCAGGCCATGGTGACTGGAGTACAGGAGACCAGAGGCTGGGTGGGGGCACTGGAGAAAGAACTGGGGCCTGGAGATGGGAGTGTTGAGGTGCCTCATAGGAGGCACCAGAAAATCGCCCGAGGTCCCCAGTTGGAGGGCTCCAGCTTGAATCCTGTGTGGGGATCCCTGGCTTCCCCAAGCCTAGGAGACCAGGCTCCCTCCTGTAGCTCCTGGGGAGGTACCTGAGGGCAGAGGAAAGCCATGGGGCTGGAGGTCCTGAGGTCCCAGGAGCATTTGGAGCCAGCCACACAGGCACTGATAGGAGAGCTTAGGTCCAGGCCAGGGCAAAAGGATCCAGCTGGGCACAGTCCACAGCTTCCTTCAGAGGTGCCACCTTGGATAGGGAGGTCACGGTTCATGGACCCTGTGTGTCCCCAGGCGGGAATATCAACCCCTGAGGATGAGACCTTTTCCTGCTTGCTAGAATGGAGCCTAGTACAATATGTGTTGAATGAAGCAGCCACTGGCCAGAGCCTCCCTTAGGGCATCTCTTCTTCGGGTTGGCCAGTGGCGCAGCCTGGCGTTTCACGGGCAGAGCCCAGCTTTGGGCATAGGTTAAGGGGTGGAGGAGTGGGCCGTGTCCCGGGGACAAGAAGCCCTAACATCAACTCTCAGGCACAGACCTTCCCCCAGACTCAAGTCCACCCCAATGGGAACCCCAAAGACCCTGACAAACAGATGTTCCCATTGTGCTGTTTGTGTCTAGGGTGTTAAAGTTGGGAGTTTGAAGGAGGAGGGGCCCATAGCTGGGAGGGAGTGGGAAACACAGGGCAGATGCTCACCTGGGCTGCTCCTTGTTGTCCCCATGGGGCAGGGCACAGGGTACAGAGTCCCCTGGGTGCAGTAGTGGCCTTGGGGGCAAGGTCCATTGAGGGGAAAGGCAGATTTTCTCTGGGGAGTGGGGCTGGCAGCTCCCCCCTCACAGTAGTAACCAGCTGAGCAGGGTCCTTGGATATAGAAAGACTAGAATTTTAGAGCAGCAACGGAAACCTTACCAGCTCCCTATGCTATATCTTGCCTCCTCCCTGGTCCCTGCCTGCTGTACCTAACCCCAAAGAATCATGGAAATTAAAGCAGGAAGAAGGGAGTCCTTGACCCTTAGCTGGTGGCTTCCACACGGAATCCAGGGGGAGGGGTAGCTCTAGGAGGTAACAGGTGTGGGCACTTGCTGTACACCAGGCACTGTTCTAAGCTCCTGTTTGTAATGACCACACTCTGCACAGCAACTGTGGGAGGTGCATACTGTGATCATCCCCACTTTACAGGGGAGAAGACTGAGGTCCGAGAGATGAAGTGACCTATCTGAGGTCACACTCGCACCAAGTTCAGAGCTAAAATGAGAACCTATTCTTGGCCACAAGCCTGAGGACTTTTAGGGGAAGGAGGGAGGAGCAGGGTTCAAGGGAGGAAGTAGCAGGGGGCCACACTGTGGCAGGCTGTCAGACCCAGACCCGTGCTGTGGCTCAGCCAAGGAGAATGCTGGGGGAAGCCACACAGTGGAGCCAGGACATAGCTCCACTGGGTCACCGGTACTCACCCTCAGTCTGCCCGTTGCCCTCCCCAGGGCAATACCTCCCTGCAGGACAGGGCTGGCAGGCCCTAGGGGAGAGAGCACCTTCCCGTGGGTTCAGGGTTCCCTCAGGGCAGGGAAGAGCAGAGGATGTCCCTCCTGGGCAATAGTGACCTGTGGGGAAGGCCAGTGTCCCTGAGCACCATGCACCCCAACCCCACAGTGGCTCCCTGGGCCCTACAGCCTCCTACCGTTCACGGCAAAGAAGTGAGGACAGACTTGAGGGGATGCGGAGAGCACAGTGAAAGGATGTGGAAGAGGACACTGGCCCCAGTGGTGGAAGAAGGTGGGGAGGATTAGAATCCGGGCGAGTGGGGTGGGAACTTTTGGGTGGGGGTGTGTGTGCAGACAGCCGAGGTGTGCCTGTGTGCATGTGTGTGTACCTGCCCCTGTGTGTAGGACATCAGCATGGAGGTTTCTGGGGTCATTACTTAGTGAGAGTAAGTGACAGGTGCGGCCTGGCTCCATAGGTCAAGAGGGAGAGTTTCTTGTCCTGGAGAAAGTGGGGTCATGTGCACTTTACACAAGCCCCCATAGCCTCCTCAAGGAATAGCTGCCCTAAGACCACCTGTTAGGGTGGCCTTGGCCAACAACTTGCTAAAGAGTCTCACACAAGATGTGCTGTAGTCTTCTCTGTGGGGTGTTTACTGAGGGAGGCAGCTCCCCTGGGGTGGGATTCTCATGGGTCCTCTGGTTGTGCTTTAGAGACAGGTTGTGGCTGTCCAAGGACAGCGGCACCTTAGGATCAGAGTGGAACTGACCAGAATGTCCTGCCTCTCAGACCTGTGTTCCTTCCTCTGTAACATATGCACACTCACCTCCTGAGCACCTACTGGGAACCTAGGGTAATGACTTGTGAGGCTGGTCACAGACCGTGTAAAGGAAGGTAGTGGCAGCGTCCCTAGGCAGGTGAGCCTTCCACAACAACCTTCACCCTGTGTCCTCCCTCTGCAGTAGGATTAGCCCCATTTTATAGGTGGGTCACTGGCTACCAGAGAAGGCTGAGGTTTTGCCATCAAGCGTAGAGTTCTGGGAGAGGGCTGAGCTTCGGGGGCCAGAGGTCCCAGCTGCACTGAGCCCTGAGGTGCACTGTCCATTGCAGTCATGTCCAGTGTCCCTCTACCCTTGAGAGTGAGGGCAGAGACTGGCCCGAGGGCATTCATTACCTTTGGGGCAGGTGGTGGGCTTCACAGTAGCAGCCTTTTGGCAGTAGGTGCCCCCTGGACAGGGCAGGCAGGTGTCAGCCCCAGGCAATGGGCTGAAAGTGCCAGGCTCACAGGGCTGCTCGCTGTGAGCCCCTGGGGGACAGCGGAAGCCAGGGGGACATCTGTAGCCATGGGTTCCGTCAGAAGGTGAGGGCACAGCACTTCTTCCCAGGCAGATGTACCTGAGGAAATGGAGAACCGTGGCTGAACCTCCTATAGCATGACCATGGGGTCCTGGACAGGTAGAAGGTGGGAGAAAGGGGTGGCCTTTGGAGCCTTAGGTCATCAGAGTTGTGCTGAGGATGAGGCCAGAGTGGCCACAGTCAAGAGCCATCCCTCAGATGGAAGGAGGTCCTTTGGTCCTCAACTCTAAAATGTCTATGCTCCTGTGATAGGAAACTATGCAGTAGGGGCTCAGGAAGGGTACTGGGAAGGGTTAGACATTTCCTAGAACAAGCATGGCTCTCCTCTCCAGAATTTCTCTGTCCTCAGGGCCCTGAACAGATGGGGCAGGCCTTCCTTCACATAGGACCCAAACAGAGCTTACTGGTGGCTGTGGCCAGTCTCTAGCCCTTTCAACAGTAAGGGGAAAATGCACCTGTTAGGAATCTCAGACACCGTCCGCAGAGGCTGTTGGTGAAGGGGGTAAAGACCAGGGCTTGGCAGGGGCGACAGAGGGTGTGGAGGCTGTCCTGGGGCTGAGTGGGACATGGGGCTGGCCCGGCACCCCAGCACTCTTAGATCTTGGAAAGTCAGTGCTAGGAGGGCCCTAGAGGCTGCGATTAGTTCAGCCTTGTATCTAAGGGATGACACATCAGAGGCTCCCATCCTGGGGCACAATCACTCTAGCCCAGGATCCTCACAGGGGCTGAGGAGAGACCATAGGATCTAGGATTAATCTGTGACTTGGGGGTCATGTCACACCTGACTTAGGGATACTCCCTCTTTGCACTGAGGACTCCAGGGTCAGGGTCCCCTACCCTGCATCGCAGAGCTCTGCCTCCATGGCATGGGACAGCCCAGGATGGCTGCAGTAGTGCCCTGGGGGGCACGGCAGGCACTGGTCCTCGCTGGCCAGGCCTGGAGCAGAGGAGTAAAACCCAGGCAGGCATGGCACTGGGAAGGCTGTTCCCCTGGGACAGAAGAAGCCAGGTGGGCAGATGTCATTCCCAGAAAGTCCTGGGGCCTCCACCTGTGTATTCAGAAAGAAGGAAGAAAGGCCTTTACATCAGAGCTGTGGTCTTGGGTTGCACACACCGCTGCCTGCACCTGCTGGCCCCTGGAGGGTGCAAATAAGAATGTTACATGAAAAATCGTCCCATTACTACATGCTTTCGCCTGTGGCAGCCAGAGACTAAGGAGGAGGAGTGAGGAGGTCCGGGAGGAGTCTCTTACTTCCTAAATCATAGTGTTGACTCAGTGGCTTCCCTCCCCTCTCCTCTTCATCCCCGGGCCTATTTTCTCTGTAGTGTCAGTGTGGAACTGGGGGCTTCCAGAAGGGGCAGTTTCTAAAAGAGAAGTTGGGGTCCAGAGAGGGCAAAGGGAAGGTATGTTCAAGGTCACACAGCAAGTCAGTAACAAAATGAGAATCAGAGACAATCAACTATCACACCAACATCACGCCATCTGTTTGTGCAACGCGGGTCTGGATGTCCATCTACCCAACTGCCTCTCCACTACCCTGTTCTACAGTACAATGATCCTACATATTGACTGTTTCTTTCTCACCACGTGGCCTTGAGAACCCCACAGAGTTCCTGTAGCTGCATGCCTAAAGTAGGATGACCTCGGGGCTTCCCACAGAGAACTGCCGGCTCACTATGGACATAGAACAGGCATGTTGGCCAGCACTGAATAAAGCCTCTGTTTATGTTACTGCTGTTATCGTTACATGCCATCAAACCCCAGGAGTCACACACTGGAAGGCAAATGACTTAAAAGAAAAAGGTCACTGCCACCGTGGCTTACAGATGCCATGGATTAGAAGACACTGTTGATTTTAGAGATGTTAAATGTGAAAAAGATGCACATCTTAGAATCACTGAAATAAGCTATCACAGGGTGGGTCCTACACTAGGCCCTGGTGACACAGAGGTGAGAATGGTCCTGCCCTCAGGGCACTCGACCCTCAGCCTAGTAGGAGCCACTGGCCAGCTCTGTGGTCCAGTACCCCAGGGGTGTTGCAGGTGGGCTCAGATACACGTCTGGGGGGCCATGCCCAGCATTACATACCTTGTGTCTGAGGGGGGTGGGAGACACTGCTCCTCCTGTGCAGTAGTAGGCCGCGTGGCAGAGCCTTGATGGCTGGGACAGCCCTTCTGATGAGCAGAACATCCCTAGAAGAAGCAGACCCACTGGCTCTGGCACCAGCCCTGTCTCTCTTGGGCTGTGCCTGACCTGCTCCTCCCTCCCTCGGCTTTCAGACTAGCACAAGGTGTTGGCAGGATGGCCAGGCAGAATACAGGGAGTGAGGGGCAGAATGAGCTAGGGAGACATGGATCTGCCCTGACCAGGCAGTAATTTCTCTCCAGCAACCCCTGGTCTCTGAAGAAAACATGGGGCTGGTCTTGCCTGAGCCCTAGAGCTACATGTGGGGTGGGCTGGGCCACAGGGTATGAGGAGGCCTGGAGAATCCAAAAGATGGTGGGAGCTGTGGGCCTGTAGGTCAGTGGGGCCCGGGCCCATATTTGAATGTGACTTTGTTTTCCTTGCCCCAACTGTTAGACTTGAGAGGGGCTGCCATGACAGTACAGGTCCAGGGGGTCAAAGCACATTCCCTCATGGACTTGTTTGATTGCCCTTCTTCTACTTCTCTTCATTCTCTTCTCAGCCCTTTAGTCGAGGCTTCCCAAGGGCCCGTGACCCAGAGTCCACCAACCTGCTGGGCACAACTCACAGTCCAGCTCTGCACTGGCCCCTCGCCTGGGCCCAAATGTCCCCTGAGGGCACGGGTTGGCCGTGGCTGAATGGGAGCCGGGGGTACAGAAGTAGCCCTGGAGGCACAGGTTGGGGCCACCAGCCATGGGACCTAGAGGGCAATGGCAGGGTTAGCCTGAGCTTGCCGTGGGATC